CATAGTAATGTGAAGGTTCGTCAAATCTTTTGATAGTGATTCGGGGAGCTTCATTGTCCCATCCGATCTTGAACATAGAATACATGGTAGCCAGAGCATCTGCCAACTGATTTTCTTCCCTCAGGATATGTCCAAAGGTGATCTCTTCGAAGTAAGGGATCAATGTTAGCACAAGATCTTTGTAAGGGATAAGATTTGGACGTTTTGTATCCCATTCTCCTTTAACTTGACTGATGACCAAAGCTGAATCTCCATATACACTTAAGAATTTGATTCTTAGGTCAATAGCAGCTTTAAGACCCAAGATGCACGCTTCGTATTCAGCCATATTGTTAGTACAATCAAAGCAGAGTCTGGCGGTGAAAAGAGTATGGCAACCTTAGGGAGAAATGATCACAACACCAATTTTGTTACCCAGTACGTTGGAAGCTCCATCAAAAATCATAACCCACCAGGATCTTTGTTCAGGTCCTTCATACAGTCCAGGATTTTCACAATCTACAATTAGCATGATATTCTCGTCTGAGAATTCAAAGTTCATAGATTGGTAATCGTCTACAGCTTGATGTGCCAAATGATCTGTCAACACAATTTCCTTTTATTGCTTTTTGTGTAGTGTAATGGATGTCGTACTAAGTTAAGATCATTTTCCATCGGGCTATCCTTCCGGAGAGAGCTCGCTTCTCGAAGATGTACTTGATGGGATCCATCTTAGAGATTAATAGAGTGGTATGAGTCAACATATACTGTCTTAGTCGGCGAGCCGCCCATGCCAAAGTGTAACAAGTTTTCTCGAGCAGTGAATATATTGTTTCACAGTCGGTAAACTTTTTGATAAGGTAGTATATTGCATGCTATTTTCGACCAGACTCGTCATGCTGCCCTAACACACACCCAATTGAATTCTCTAACACGGTTAAGTACATGATCAGAGGTCTTCCTTCAATTGGTGGCATCGGGATTAGAGGTTCTTGCAAGTACTCCTTGATTTTTTCAAAAGCTATTTGGCAGTCGTTATTCCATCTTACCACTTGATCTTTCTTTAGCAGCTTGAAGAGTGGCTCACAAGTAGCAATTAAGTGAGAGATCAATCGAGCAATGTAGTTTAGATGTCCCAAGAAACCTCTAACTTCTTTCTCAATATGAGGAGCTGGAATTTCTTGGATTGCTTTGACTTTGGCGGGATCGACTTTAATTCCTTTGTCACTAACGACAAAGCCTAGGAGCTTACCATACCTTACCCCGAAGATGCATTTGTTGGGATTCAACCTCAGCTTGTATATCTTCAATCTCTCAAATTGCTTGTGCAGATGATCAAAGTGCTCTTCCTCAGTTTGGGATCTTCCTATCATGTCATCCATGTAGACTTCTATCTCATGATGGATCATGTCATGAAATAAAGCCACCATAGCCCGTTGATAAGTTGCGCCTGCATTCTTCAGCCCAAAAGGCATGACCTTATAATAGAAGGTGCCCCACTGTATAACTAAAGTTGTTTTCTCCATATATTCAGGTGCCATTTTAATTTGGTTGTAACCCGAGAAGCCATCCAAGAAGGAAAACACATTGTGTTAAGCAGTGTTATCAACTAAGACATCAATATGTGGTAGTGGGAAGTCATCTTTGGGGTTTGACCTATTTAAATCCCTGTAGTCTATGCACATACGACCCTTACTGTCTTTCTTTGGCACTGGAACAACATTTGCAACCCATTGGGGATACGACGTTACTACCAATTAACCTGCATTGAATTGTTTCATTACCTCAACCCCTTGATCTTTTCAGACATGTCAGGACGCATGCGACGAACCTTTTGTTTGATCGAAGAACAACCCTCTTTCATTGGTAGACGATGAACCACGATATCAATATTGAGCTCCGACATGTCTTCATATGACTAAGCGAATACCTCAACATAGTCATGTTACATTTGAACCAATTTGCTCTTAACATTGTTTTCCAAGTTGGTGTCAATCTTGACTTCTTTCTTATCTGCCTCAGTACCCAAGTTTATTACTTCAACCGATTCTTCGTGCGGTTGGATAACCTTTTCCTCTTGTATCAGGAGTCTAGAAAGTTCTCCAGATATCTCATAATCTTCTTTACCTTCGTCTTCGGCTTGATAGATTGGATTCTCGAAGTCATAGATGGAAATAGTAGAATTATTTTCAATGAGACCCGGAGTGGATGTGGATCTGCAAATGTGTGTGTGTGCATGTAAGGTCGCCTAGCTACTTAAAAATGCAGTAAAGTAAAAGAAAGACAAAGAACATAAAATTTGAATGCAAAATCGTTCAATGTTTTCATTAAATGAGCTTATGATATATGAAATGACAAACTCTTAACAAATGGACCCTTGTGCCCCGGGCAAGGCACATGGTTTAAAGTTATTATTTTGAAGGAAATTATACAGAAAAAGTTCTTAAAGAAATAAAAAACAGGAAATAGAAATTACTCCTGGTTAAAGGATATTGAGATGAAGTCTTTGGCCTTCCAGTTGTTGAGTCCACCGTCAGCAGTTGGGAAGATCCACCTGTCTAGGTCACCATCACTATCAGTGTTTTCTAGTGAATTGACTTCATTGTTGCTAATACGAAGAGGCAGTCCACCAGTGCGAGCACGTCAAATCTCTTTTTGTGCCTTTGAAGTAAGACCCAGTTCGAATTTGTCAGATTTGTAGGGAATGTCAGGAAGTTGTCCCCAACTAGTGCAACCTCCATCTTCTACAACAATCCTAGCATCCTTCAGAGAGGCCATTCTTGGCGTACCTTTAGAGATTTCAGGAGTAGCATAAGTAGTAACAACAACCATTGGATGGATTACCTCAAATGCTTGATAGAGGGTTTTAATGAATTCGTCATCCATTTCAATGTATTTGAAAGAATTCTAATGACTGACCATATATGCTTCCTCTCCATAGACTGTGATAACTTTCCCTTTTACTGGATATTTCAGCATTTGATGTAATGTAGAGGTAACCACACCTGCCCCATGAATCCATGGGCGTCCGAGCAAGCATGAATAGGCAGGGCGAATATCCATTACATAGAAAGTTGAATTGAAGACTTGAGATCCCACCTTGATCGGAAGATCAACCTCTCCATGGACCATTTTTTTGAACCATTGGAAGCTCTCACCACAATATCGCTAGGTTTCAGCACCAACCTTTCACAGTCTAATATGTCCAAAGCACCTTTAGGTAAAACATTGAGGGAGGACCCAGTATTTATTAACACACGTGTTAGAGTGGTGCCTTTGCATTCAATAGAAACTGCAGAGCTTTGTTATGATTCTTCCTCGCTGGAGTTAAATCCGCATCTAAAAATCCTAAGCCATTATCAGCAATTAGGCTTGCAACACAATTCTCAAATTGATCAGCAGTGGCCTCTTGAGGTACATGGGCATTCTTCAGAAACTTCAATAGAGCTTGGGAATGTGCTTTAGAGCATAATAGGAAGGACAACATGGATATCTTTGAGGGTGTTTTCCCCAGTTGCTCCACTATTTTGTAATCACTTTTTCAGATGATTTTCAGAATTTCTTCCATCTCTTGTCAAGATGGGTCTTCAATTGTAACCTCTTTTCGGGGTGCCTCCATCAGGGAAAGCTCGGTAACTTTATCCTTACCTTGGCCATTGGTAGTTGGCTCAACAGCAGGAATGCGAATACGTGTTGTTTTATTTGTTGGAGGGGAAATCTCCGGAGAGAAGACCCTTCCTGTCCTAGTGACCTTACTAGTTCCAACAATGTTTGTAATTTCAGCATCTTCATTTTAAACAATCCATGGCTCTTGCTTGACACCATGATAATAAACTTCTGCCCCATAGTTTCAGGGTACAACTTTGTCAGAGGAGTAGGGGACTGGCCCTGGTGTAGTGATAATCAGGGGAGTCACTCTTGGCTCAGCAGGAATCTTTATAAGGCCTTTAGAGGTGATCCTAATAGAAGTGTTAGAGATTGTGATTATGGAAACATCTTGAGGTATACTTTTAGGTAAAGTCTTCATGGACGGAGTTTTCTCAAACAAAATTTCATGGCTATCAATCAGGCGTTGGATACCTTTCTTCAGCCACATACAACCATTGGTTTGGGAAGCACAATGGCAAAAACTTTCAGGGCAACCAGGAAATAAACCAGTTGTTGCACCCTAAATTTCGCCCATAAATTTTTTAGTCGTATTATCATATCACATTTTGTTATTTGGTCGCAATCATTAATAGATATCTTCATTCATCACATTTTGCATCATTAGTCATATTTAAGTTGACCAAAAGTCAGTTTAAATTGAAGTTTGCATCATTTTATAGTTAAAAAATACCCGATATTTCACTTTCATGCATTTTTATCTCTTTACTCTTTTCTTGTATCGCTCCAAGTTGTTTATATGTCGATAATATTAATATTTCAGTTTTACAGACAGACTGTTAAAAGCGATTTGATACTATGTGAAAAATTAACGAGAAAAATATTTCATGTTTTCACCTTTTACTAATCATTTTATGAATCGGAGTTTCGCGTAGATTATGACGGTATGCTCGTTTTATTTTTTTGGTACACTTTGAAGTCTCATTTTTAACCGTAAATGTTTGTTCAGCCTGATATTTTAATTCTCATTTTATTTTGATTTTGATCATTTGAATATTTTTTCATTAATCTTTGAGACAACTAATTTATTTTAATGTATTGATTTCATTTTTTCAGACACATTTTTGTCCATTATTTTACCGTTTTTAGTTATTTTAGGTCTCTATTTTTTATTCAGAAAAAAACAATTTTTTTTTAATTCCATTAATTTTTATACTTTCAAGTTTTTACGTCATTTTTATTTTTAGAGAACTTTTTTATCATAAAAAAATATTTATTAAACTACGCTGTGTTCGTATTGGTTGTTGGAAAGAGTTACTGATCGATGAAAAAAATAGAGAGCTAGCAAATTGCAATCAGAGAAATCATTTCCTTTTGATTCTTCCTATTTAAAGAAATTATTTATTCTTTGTTAAACACACAAAAACAACACCACAAACAGTAACCATCCCTCTCTCTCCACGGCTACCCCTTCTTCCCTCTCTCCACTACCATTCACAAAAACAACAAGATAAACCAACTCTCCAATCCATCTCTCTCCCTCGCTACTGTTACAACAAAACTCCAAACAACTTTCATAACAACACAAACTCCCTCCTCTCTTCAAACAACAACTATCCCTTTCCCTCTCGTCTCTGCTAGCAACACAATCCGCCTCTGTTTCAAAAAACAATCAACAATTCCTCTTTGTCAAAATACCCGTATCACCAATTTCTTCACACAACCCATCACACTCGCCTCTCCCAACTTCAATTTCCCCCTTCATCAACCTATCTCCCTCTGTATATTTCACTGTGATTCCTCAACCTTCCATTCACCCGCAACTCACCTTCAATACTCCAATTCAGATCACGCCGTAATACTCCCTTCGTCTATCTCCGCTGTACAACCGCCAATTTCTATTAACCCACTCATCATCACCGTAAACAACACCTTTCACCACCTACCAACAACAACTCGTTAACTTCCGTGCAACATCGTCAATCTCCGTCGCACATCCACGACAACCCCTCCGTCCGAATCACTTCTTAGCACATCCGTCCAGTTGTCCATCATCACTTCTGCATATCTCTCTCTCTCTCTCTATCTCTCTCTCTCTGTGCAACTCAGCAGGATGCCTCACGAAGACTCCCTCCATCAACGTCACTTAGGTGTTGTCGGTAAGATTTAACACTTTCCATCTGTGATGTTTGAGCTGAATTGTGTACATTAAATTGAATTCTGCAGTGTTGATGATTGATTCATTGTGACAAATCCGAATGAGAAATTTTCTGTGTTAGAATTTTGATGATAGTGACATTATTGTTAGTTCATGGTTGATTAATAATAATGGTTGCTGAAGTTTTTTAAATTAGTGATAACAGGATATTGATTATTGTTTGTGATTGGAACCTTGATTTTGAAATTAAAACTTTGGGGATATGATATTGAGCATGTTGTTTGAAGTTTGAAGTTTGATTGTGTGGTTTAATTTGAATGATGAGTTTTGATGACATTACCATACTACTTGAGTTTCTAATGGTGGATTATCATGAGTTTTAATGTTAGACACTAATCTTGTTTGAATTAATTTGAGGTACCGTGTTATTTGGTTAATGTTCAAGAGATGTTGGCGGTTTCACTTTGATTCAAGTGTGTAGATTTGGAATGAGCTAAACTTGGTTGTGGTATTGATTTATTCTCCTTTTGTCTCAATACATGTTTGAATTGAAATTTTGGGACATGATTGTTTATGCATAGTTTCTGTCCGGTGTTTCAACTTAATCGATTATGACTTACTTCTAAACTTAGTTCATGCTTTGAAGTCAATTTTATTTGCGACATAGGTGCATGCTATTTGTTTTCGGTTTCTAATGAATTGAAATGTGTCTTGAGTTTGTTTTGAGACTTTAAGTTCATGAAGTTTTTGGTTGCTGCCCAGATTTGGTTCGATTGATTTTAGTTTGCTTTGAGCTCAACTTTCCATGTTTTGAATATTGGATTGAATAAAAGTTTGATTTTCTTTGGTTTAGCTTCACTTGTGAATGGGAATACTTGAATAATTGATTGCTTGGTTCTTGAATTGTTCATGTGCATCATACAAGTTCATTTCAATTTTATACTTTGTAATTACTAACACATATTTTAATTCTTGTAATTTCATTTTATATCTCTTATGCTACTAACAAGTTTGTTTATTGTGAAGGTTTCCAAGAATTATTTTCATAATTCATTCTCATAGCGTATCTCTACTTTTTCTTTGTTCCCTTTTTATTGTATTTTTTTTTTTAATTTTACTATTTCGATTTAATATTTAGCATTGTAAATATATAATTATACATAATAATTGTATTTTACATTTTACTTTTAAATAAATTCAGGTTATGTAAATATTTTTTTCACTGCGTTGCGATTTTAAATTTTAATTAAAGTTAACTTTTGAAAATCGTACGGACGCATATAAGTTTCCCTATGCTGTTAGATTTCTCTGTATATCTCTTGTGATGCAGGGTTTCTTATTCGATATCGTGAGCTTTATTTGATATCTCGAATCTTATCCGGTACCATGAGCTTTATCCATCGCCTTTGCGATTTATCTAATTTCTCTCATCATCCACATTCTCTTCATCCATGATTTATTTTCATGTATTGTGATTCAATGCGCTTTATTCGCTGCTTGGAGTATTATCTTACGTTTGAGTTTTTTTTTATGCTGTTGGCTTGTGATGTATTTTCACCTAAGGTATGATATACTCTTAGCTTATTTTTCTGTCTGTGGATTTAAATCCAAAGGGGTGGGAGCACTGTATTGACTTTATCATGTCAATTACTGGTTTCTTATTCGCTCAGATCCTCTTTACCTTACCTTTTACCCTCATGTACATAGGATACTCTCTTCTCTCATTCTTTAATTTTCAAAACTTTTTCATCTTTTTTCAAAATCTTCTTTGTTTATAAAATCGTACCACTTTCATAGTAAACCCCGACTTTGTCGAGTGCCTTTTCTTTTAAAACTTCTTTTCTTTAAACAAATTCAATTCATTTAATCATACTTCGACATCTTTCAAAATTAACAAAAACACTTCAACTCATTCAAACCATTTTGTGCGCTCGAACACCTTTTATCCTTCAACACTTTTTTTCAAGATGAGACATGATTCATTGATACGAGCAACATTCTCCTATCCTCATAGTTATAAAGGTGTCGACTTTTCCACTTGAGTACTAGAGGCGTTCTCAAACCCTCACTCTTGCTGACGCAAGGTCCATGTTTTCCACACCATGTAGGCATTAGTCGAGATTTCTCTCCTAACAATGAAGACTTGTCCTTTCGTTTAAAATCAACCAACATACAAGTCTTTTCTAGCCGAACTACGGTGCCCCGACTTTCCCATTGCACGAGGAAGTACGTAGACACTAAGTCTTACGACCTAAGGCGAGCAAAAATAATAAAAAAACATTTCATTTTCTTCTGTGTGCAAATACTTATTCATTCTTTTCCTTTAGCAAGTAAGCCTTTAAATAACACACTCTTAAAAGAAAACAAAAAAAGTGGATCCTGCGGAGTAAGGTAGATGCTTAGGGTGCTAATACATTCCCTTTGCATAACCAACCCCCTTACCTCGATCTCTGATCTTTTATTTCATTGTGGGTTTTGTTCGCTTTTTTCTCATTTCCCTTTGGAAATAATAAAGTGAGGCGGCAACTTCATTGTGTTGAGATAAGTCAATTAATGGCTTAGTCTCAAATCTTTACCACTACATCTTCTCTTATGTCACATTATTCATTTATTTTAAAAACCGGTGCGACAACGACTCTCAGCAGATTCTTCTTAATGATCAATAATGGAGTAGTCAAATCATCGATGGTGGAGACAAAGGAGACATTGTCAACAACATTAACACCTTTACCATGACTTGGCATGGGTGTGGTAATCACATTAGGGGTTTGTGGGGGGTCAAGCTCAATTACTTTATTATCAATCAAATCTTGGATCTTGTTTTTCAATGTCCAGCAGTTGTTTGTATCTTGGCCGGGACTATTTGAATGATAGGCGCATTTCACATTTGGGTTATATTTGGGAGATACGGTATTGGGGTTTGGAGGAGGATCTCACAGTGTTACCAAATCCGCCCTCAACAAATGTTATAAAGCTTGAGACAGTGGCCTATTGATTCTAGTGAATTACCTCCTCGGGGCATCTGGTCTTTGTTGATTGTTTGATTGTTGTGGTCGTTGAACTGGGGTTGGGTTCGAAATCAATACAGCTCCTACCGAATGATGACGATCATTCTTGAGACGACTCCTTTGTCCATAAACAGCATTAGTCTCTTTCTTACCCACGAAAGGTTTCTTTACAGCATTAGAGGTTGAGTTCATGGAGATCTTTCCACTTTTGATTCCACTTTCAACTTGCTCTCCAATCAAGATTAAATCAGTAAACCCTGACGAATAACTCTCAATCAACAATTTAAAGAATAGACCAGTCAAGGTTCCCATTAACATGTCCACTAATTATCTGTCAATCAATGGGGGCTGCATCCTTTCATCCAGGTCCCTCCACTTTTGAGCATACTCTTTAAAACCTTCATTTGAACCCATAGTCATATTCTGCAACTGCACACGAGTTGGTGCAAGATCAGCATTGTATTGGTATTGTTCGTAGAAGGCTGAAGCTAGATCCTCCCAGGTGTGGATATTAGTCCCCTCAAGTTGATAGAACCATTCCAACTATGTTCTAAATAAGCTTTCTTGGAATAAGTGCACCCATAACTTTCTATTAGCGGTGTGCAGTTGAATCTTGCGGACGTAAGACCTCAGATGCATCTTTGTACAGGAGATCCCGTCGTATTTTCCAAAGACAAAGACATTTAACTTCTGGGGAATGACCACCCCAGGGACCAAACCTAAGTCTCCAAAGTCCAAACCATGCATTGTTTGGATCTCTACAGCCTTAAGTCGGTCTTCGAGCTATTTATACTTATCATCCGCCAGTGGGTATTGATCCTCGGAATAATCTTCGTCCCCAGTAGCTTGGTAATTTCCACCCTTAGCTCTAGTGCTTATAGATTCCTCTTATTGATTGTCTTCTTCCTCATAAGAAGCCTCTTATATTTAAGCTAGTCGGGCAGGCCTCTTGAACCTTCTTCCCATGTTGAGGATGACAACCCTCTTCTTGGTCTTCTTCTTGGTGGCAAGGAGTGCCATCATCTCTTGCTGACCTTTAGCTAAGTTGAGGAGAGTCTCTTGGAACTGTGTGTGTTGAGTTTGCAGATCTTTGACGGTTTGCTCTAGAGCCATCTTATACTGAAATAAACAGTAGAAATATGAGGAAACCTGTTATCGAAAAACCTACTTATGATATGATGCATGCTATGTGGATACAATGTTTTCAAGGACCTTAAGAGATTTAAATTTGCTAGCCAAAAAGGAAACAAACGTAACAATTGTATTAATAAGTTCAAAGAGTTACAATTTCCCCTTGGGCTTACAAAAAAGCAAAAGGTCTCAAAGAGACAACAAAAAAAAAGACTCATAAAACATAGGACTCAAGTTTCCCACGGACACTTATTCTTTGGTGAAATGTAGGCATTCAGGATTTGCTCCTCGTGAAGCCTTTTAAGCTCTAACACTTTCTTCTCGCTTGCATATAATCGAGCTTA